ATATATCATAAAGCATGGCTGGCTTTCTTCCTCAGCCAGCTGGCTTTCTTCCTCTGCAGTTATGCTCATCCAAACAGTGGTTACATCCTGTAGTTCAAAGCTTTAAGATTCTCTAACTACCTGCACATTTTTCTAAGCGCTTGAAGGTAGTTTTCAAGGATTCAGTGAAGAACATGTTTCACCATTTCAGAATAATAGAGATTCTGACATCGCTGTTAAAACAAATTCAAATTCAAATGATCACATTCTAACTCTATAAACTATAACTATTGTATATAACTATAACTATAAAACAGGAACTGGGGGAAGTCTTATTCACTTTATTGGATAGTTATTATTTGAATTCAGGATGTACCATTCTAATTGCTAAACTTATAAGTCACATGCATTCCCCTTTTTATGCAAATTATATGCATACTGTAAGTAAAAAAAGGGATGGATGTTTTTATAGGTTACCAAAAATAATAATTTTCCAACTAGTTTTCATAATTTTCCAACTAGTTATTATTCCATTGAAATAACTTAACACTGTGAATTTCTCATTGAAAACAGTAGCCCTAAAGCACTTGCAAACCAAAAACCCAAGGGTTATCATTATCCAAAGTTCACAATGACACAGGGATGTCAAGTACAGTGAATCCTTCCCTTCCAACTCTAGCACAGCAGAGCAGGGACACTGAACATCTGCTAATTTCCTCTCAGACACTAGAGAAACACAGACAATGGAAATACCATACCCTGATCTGAATGTCACTCCAAGTGTTTCAGTTTTTATTACTTCTTGGTTTGGAAACAGTGCAGACACTCGAACTAAAGCAAAGCACCTCTCCTGAATTGGACACCTCACCATCAATAACTTGCCCAGTTCTATAATGTCACAATCATCATACCTCCTCTTAAGAGCGCTCCGGCCCTTTTGTATTTTAGTTAATTACTTGCACCTGCCCCCTGTTCCATGTCCTTATTTAAGCCCGGCGCTCCCGCTATTCCTGGCTCAGCATTGGAAGTTGGACGCCGGGAAGCACACCTACTGTACCAGCGGGTCCAAGAGAGACACGATGGCACAGGCTTCATCACGGCGCCCTGACTATCCGAGACCAGGGTTCGGAGCACCTGGCCTCATTATCCTGGTTTTATTCCCTGTCCCTGTTCCGGATCCCATTCCAGATTTTAACCTTCTTTGTCTCGTCTTGGATGGATTCCCCAGTTCCTGGACTCTGGACTGCACCCTGGATTCCCCCTTTCTGGACTGCCTGAACTAGTTTGCCATCGCCATGCCCCCCTATCTGTCAACCCGTCCTGATCCTCTACATCTCTTCCCTGTTGTCCTTCTCCATTTACTTCCGGATTATACCATCTGCACGGGATCCTGAACTGCGCTTCACGGGAGCCTGGACCGGCTCCCGTTACAGATAAAAACTGGAAAGTCACCTGGCATTAAAAAGAAGACCAGGGATGATTGGCTTTCATTCATTTACCCCCAAAAAAGGGAATGTTAAGCAAGGCTTTGAGTCGAACAATTATCTGTCCACAGCTACACTGTGTACACTGTACATGTGGGAACCATTTTTGGGTGTTTCAGGTCTTCTCATACTTTATGTCTAAGCCCTACAAGTAATAAAGTGATGAAAACCTTAAAAATAAAAATGGAATGCAATGTGAAACTTTTCTCTGAGGGGAAAAATGCATTTGATTGAAACCACATTCCAAGCACTTAGATTTCAGTGTGCTTTGAAGTGGATATGCTGGGTTATTTTTCATATCTAAAATTTTGATATGAAACTTTAAAGCAGGTTATTCCTCCTGTATTCTAAAATGTTGCATTAGTTCAGTTAGGTGGATTAATTCCATTTTGAAGGTTGCTTTTGTTTAAATGTCCTTTGTCTCTGCTTCAGGTGGTTAAGGAATAAGCGAATTTAGTAACTGTATGCTTTTAAAGGTTCCAAATGCAGGTTCGCATGAACATCAAAGAGCTACATGGGTATTGTGATCCACTTATCTTCTGAGCACACTTTTATCTCAAGAAAGTAAAAACCTCCAGATAGGTCTTAGTCAGAAAGATATGGAACAGATCAACTCAACCTTGAACTTACCAGGGGAATCACACTGTATGGTGAACAACAACATCACCCAATGGCACGTCTATACATTGTCCAAATAAAGCAACCAATATGTTCTAGCACAGGCGTGCCCAAACTTTTTTAATACAAGATCTACTTTTTCATTTGCCAGCCCACTGTGATCTACCCGTGTGAATTGGAAGCTCTGATATAGGAAAAACAGACTGTATGTACAATAACGATAGCCATCACTAAAATGACAGCAAATAAAAGCAAGAGACTCATGCTACAGTGAACCAGTAGTGTTCCCTAGTTTAGAAAAAAGAATATCATACCTTCATGTGAGCATTGGCACTGAGAAGCTTTCATGAGAACACTTTTTTTTTTAACGTGTGACACTGCTGATCATGTCGATGACATTTTGTGTCCCTGCAGCTCGACATTCAGCTCATTCAGCAGTTCAGCCAGGACTGTGAGGACTGCTAAATCCAGAAGCCACTGGTCATCCTCTAATTGGGCATATTCACCATGATTAGACGACTTGAGAAACTCTTTGATTTCAGGCAACAACTGTCTGAACCTCGCCAAAAATGGTTGTCCTTGAAATCTCCAAACAGCAAGTCAGCAGCGTCAGCAAACGCTTTTTAAAAAAAAATCACTTCTCGATCCCTGAATGACTTTCTGTGTTGAGCCAGGACGTGGCTCATGCGGAACGATGCGATGATTGCTGCTTTCCCTCTTGTATTAGGCCTCGTGAAAACCGAATGCTGCTAGTTCAGATTTTAATTTTTTCACTTTTCCATAACTCTCTTTTAGCAGGAAAGTCTACATCATACGTTTTGTGTGCAGTTTTGAAATGTTGTTCTTTATTTCCGTATTTCGTGTAAACACTAGCATTGCAGATTTGAATGTGAAAGTACACACACAAAGGCAGTAAAATGCATGACATTACATGCACAGATCTGAATAAATGTTTAGGCTGTCAAAAAAAGTAAATAGTCAAATAGCCCATTTATTTCGTATTTATTTCTTGCAATCGATTGACTGCCAAGCACTCTGTGATTGACTGGTTGGGCACCCCTATTCTAGCATTTTTGAAATTGGTTGTTTTGATTAAGTTTTCACTTCATCCAGGTTTTTTTACTTCTTGCAATAATAACAACAACAAAAAAGTACAATAAAACAACAGCTACTGTACATGAAGAACAGTACTTTTCATTTCACAGTTCATATCTTCTTAAGACTGGCTGTAACCGAACCTTGATCCAAACCCAACTGACCCCTTCATCCCTATGCCGTGCCCAATCTTGTGGCTATCCACTGCATCTTAAAAAAACTCCCATCCATCCATTTCCTGTCCGATACAGGGCCCCCGGGGGAGCCAGATCCTATCCCAGCAAGCAACGGGCGCAAGGCTGGGTCCCCCCTGGACAGGGCACACACACAGACAAACACATTTTCACACCAAGGCCAGTTTTCCCAGAAGCCAATTAACCTACCAGTATGTCTTTGGTGTGTGGGAGGAAAAAGCACCCAGAAGAAACACACGCAAAGGCAGGGAGAATGTAGGGGGTCCACACCCAGAGCACCCGAGGAACTGACTCCAGGGCTCCAGCTATGCGAGGCAGCAATGCTTACCAATGTGCCACCAACTAAAAACACCCATCGAAGCAAAATGTAGCATTCACTGAACATAAAGATCGCAGGTGCCAGTGGGGCTGCTGTTGCAGTGCCTTTGTTTGCCAGCCTGTTACATTCTCTTGAAATTGTTTTCCGCAATCAAAAGCTCATTATCGCAGATGGAACGGCATTTTCATAACTGATGTCTATATAACTGATATACATTTGAAACACGTGTCATTTCCTTTTCACGTCTTCCCATTTTGCATAGCGTGCTCTACTTGGCCTTGGTGAAGGATGAACACAGGTATCTGACGGAACTGTAAATTGTTCCGCCTTAAAACAAAACGGTTTTGCGCCATAGTGACATGATAAATTGCTAATACATTACGTTCGTGCTGTATGGTGACTGCGGCGGCATGGAGATGAGAGCTGCTGACGGCGTGTCAAATGTTTTATAACATAAATTCCACGCCTAACATGTAATGAAATAATCATTGTAACATCTGAACGCAGGTGACGCACAGAGCCTTGGTGAGAACGAAAATTATCATCACCGATACTGCTTGGCATTTACAGTGTTTTAAGTATGATGGGTTCTTCAGAACAGACGTAGGGAAGAATGCACGAAGAATCCTGTTATGGCTGGTACTTCAACGTATTCCGCAGAGCACTCACTCTTTGTTAGCAGCGAGTACATGAAAAATACGTTTAGGAAGGGCCTTCGTGAAATGTCGAGGTGTGGAATCGACATGTTTATGTGAGGAAGCTACAATCGTGACAGTGAAAGTAAAATACTGTACCTTTGACACAAGTGTTTTAGATCATGTGGGAACATCGGTGACCACATCATCAACTTACATGAACAGGTCAATATAATAAACGCCCCTGGAAATCTTGCAGTCACCGTTTACACGACGTATTTATTAATGTTATATGAGGGATAATACAAGCCTTTTCAGGATGGCTTGTGTACTCTCCCGTGTTTGCGCGCAGTGTGCTGCTGTATTCAGCACTCTTGCAGCTGCAGGAGCCTCCCAGCGGGCAGCACTGGAGCGCCTCAGACGAGCGCAAGAACCGCGATCCGATACTAAAGAGGAAAACCGCGCTTTAGAGAGTTTGTGCATCTTCTACCAACAGTTCTTATATTCTTCTTATTCTTTATGCGTTTTGGTTTAATCATTTTATGGCCATTTACTGTATAACTTATGGCCATCGTTTAAAACGCGCTTCTGATCCTATGCTTTTTAAATGTCTTTGGGGTTTTCTCAGGGGAAAAAAAAACGAATAGGATTCTATAAACTCCATTTATAGCTTCCTCACAATGTAATCGGAACAAAGGGGATAACTGCAATTAGTGCTGAACGTATAACACAGGAAAAGCCTTTCGGCGCTCCAATAGCCTTAACACGAACTGTTCCATCAACAAACTGACGGAGCCCTCGGCAAACCGCATAGCGCGCTCCAAGAATTCAACTGCTTTTAGTGCATCTGGCACAAACCATCTGTTGTATTCTAAACTAAGTAACCGTATCATCTATACAGCGCTGCATTAAATCGGCTATTCCACGCTAGGAAGGAACTGGCGCTTGCAGAAGGCTTCACAGCGGAAAAGAGCGCACTTGGTTCAGTTCAGTAATATCGAGCGTGCACTCAGTTCAGCCGCTAAGACTGCTGTAGAAGACGTGGCTCCTTTTCCCTGAGGCGCTTTTAATGATATAGCTGATTATTCCTGATTCCACAACTGTCAGATGTATTCTCTCCAATCCAAGCAACGGCTTCACTGGCACATAAGCAAGGCGGGCCATATGACCCCGGGAATGACACAAAAACATTAACAGGTGTATGAAAAGGCGCAGAAAGAAAAATAACGACTGCGTGAATGTTTCAGGTCGAAGATGAAGTCTTTCTCTGCGTGCTGAAGTCGGTCACGTTATCCTGGTTTCCTAATTGTTATTGCGGCTACAGGGACGGATATAACTGGTGTTTTTTAACAGGGAAAGGGAAGGACGAACAGCCAACAATCGTTTTGCTTTGGTTTTGATGGGATCTTCACCGTTTTCTCTGCGTGGAAATCGAGCTGGCGGTTTCTCATCCTCGATCAAGAAAGTTTCACAGAACTGCTTTTTGTAAACCGTCTGCTTTTCTTTTATCTCACAGAAACGCATTTTAGCTCATGGTAAGCGATTCCCCTCACTTGCAATGTTGTTAAATTTGTGCGAAAAAAACTTTCCAAGACGCAAACCAGGTAAGAACAAAGTGTACAGAAATGGATCTGATGATTGCAGTCGTCTTTAAGGGTATGCTGTTCATACCTTTTTAGAATGAATTATAATTTACTATGAGATAAACTTCTCTTTCTATATAACATTTAAGTAATCCATTCAGAATTATATTTTATTTTTTTTCGTCTAATCCAAATCGAAAATATGTGGCATTCTTCATGGCTGTAAATGCATTGTCTCTGGGTTTCGTGCACTGATATGCACGAACAGTCACGTTAAGAATAAGAGTATTGCACAACACAGCGCAAGTGTGTGAAAATCACCTTTAAATGCAAAGAAAAACAGAAATGTAACAATAACATGTGGCATTACATATACGATTGTATTATACAATATGCTACAGTCTGAAACAAAATACTTTGAAACAAATAATAGTACACTGTATAAATGCCAAGTGTTAACACACTCACAGGTAACATTTCTACTATGTTATCCGTTTTGATTAAGTATATATATATAATGTTAAATTGGTCCACGTACCATAAATGGAATTTGCATTAATCGCTTCCCGATTCATCAGTTTCAGTTCTTAGTTTTTCTCAAGATAGTTACACATTTTCGCTAATTGCACCCACTGTAAAAACAAAATACACGCCTAAATATTACTTTGCATCCACACAATCTACACTGTTTTAGTTCTACTTCCTGTTGTATACAAGGCTCTTCGTCGTTTTTTTAAAATTCAAATAATTTTATTATTTCAGCCTACTTGCAGAATTATTTTCCTCGTGCTTATTATGTACAATTTGCTTAACTTTTCAGCACCCACGAATAAAGGCATCTGCTACTAAAATAAATAATAAACATTAGTTTTGGGGTATTGGAAAACAAAATTTTCCTGCTTAGATGCTCAGTTGTGACATATGTGCCGCAGGTCAGTGGTGTTCTGAAATTTTAAACTATATAAAGTCTCCATGATTTGCAGCTGTTAAATTTCATTTAGTCATGTAAAGGATTACAGGAAGAGTTGAAATCAGACCCAGGAACATGCTCTGGACATGTTATTCTAGTAGTAGTGTAGAGATAAGAGGCAGGAGGTGGGAGCAGTAAGAGAAGAGTTGTTGGGGGACCAGCAGGCTAGCACTAGTTTTCAATGCATGTGGTTGCAGGAGCCAGTGAAAGGACTGGATTAGCCTTAGAAAAGCACATAAATTGAAAAAAACCCCAACAAGAAGTGGCCTAGAACTACGTGTAAGGATACTCTGAAGAGGAGATATGGATCCTATGCAGACACAGGAGTAGGTGGGAGGCACGGCAACAAACAATCCGAAACAAGAAGCGAGTTCGTAGTCAGAGGGAGAAAGGAAGGTTGAAAACCAGGTCAAACACAGGTGGCAAACAATCCAAGTCATGAGGTGATATCGTGGTTGAAGGGAGGAAGGTAGGTAGAAATCTGGCAAAGACACCGGTGGCAAACAATCCGAGTAGCAAGGCGAAATCCGAAGACTGAAGGCGAAAAGGGTAGTGGATAATCCAGGTAGTCACAGGGTATAGAAATCACTAGGTAGAGCTCTCAAGGAATTTGCTCAATACCGAGCAGCAGTATGCGGCTTAAATACTGCAGCCTGCCGCACGGTAGGGCGTCTGATGTTGAGTTAACACGTGCGGCGGCGCTTGTAATTATCGCCCTGCTGCCGGTACTGATTAGTTCTCTCGGGGGCTGGTCTGGACAGGTTGGTGGTCGTGACAGTACCCCCCCTTCACGGGTGGCTCCCGACGCCCGAGACGGTCACTGGGGGAAGTCATGGTGAAAGGCGTCGATGAGTACCAGGTCCAGAATATCTCTCTCCGGGACCCAGGATCTCTCTTCCATGCCATACCCCTCCCAATCCACAAGATACTGGAGGGTATTATGGTGCCATCTTGAATCAAGGAGCTTGTGGACTGTATACGCCGGACGCCCCTGAATAGTACGCGGTGGTGGTGGGCGAGCTTGAGGGGCCACAAGGGGCGAGTAGTGGAACGGTTCCAAAGGATAGACGTGGAAGGATGGGAGGATTCTGAAAGTGGGGGGAAGTGCTAGTCGACAGGTGACCGGGGTGATCCGTGAGAGGATCCGGAAAGGACCTATATATTTAGGGCCTAGCTTCTTGGAGGACAGGCATAGAGGTAGGTTCTTGGAATTAGTGGCAGGGGGTAGCGATGTTTAACCTTGATGGAGTTCAACCCCCTGTAGTTGATACATGGGCGCAATAAGCCATCCTTCTTTCCAATGAAAAAGAAACCGGCACAGGCTGGAGAAGAGGAGGGGCGAATAAAGCCTGTGTCTAGAGCTTCCTTAATGTAGTCCTGCAAGGCCTGATTCTCCGTTTGGGTTAGAGGGTAAATGCGACCCTTGTGGGGGAGTGTTCCTGGCAATAAATCTATCACGCAGTCACAACTCCATTGAGGGGGGAGCGAGAGAGCCTGCTGTTTATCAAAGGCCTGCTTCAGGTGAACATATTGTGGTGGGATGGAAGATAGAGCTTCCACGGGGAGTATAGCAGCAGAGACCTTAACTGGGAGGTGACAACAACCGGTACGGCAGGCATGGCTTCAAGCAATGATCTCATTCTTGGCCAGGAGATGTTGGGGTCATGTTTTTTGAGCCAGGGAAGGCCCAGGATTAGTGGGTAGGAAGGCGAGTCCAGGAGTAGAAATTAAATATCCTCTGTGTGCATGGCCCCAACCCTGAGAGAGAGGGGGATGGTTTGCAGGGTAATCTGAGCAGGGGTGAGCAGAGAACCATCTAGTGCTTGAATGTTAAGCGGGGGTGACACGGAAACCACAGGGATATTCCAACGTTTGGCAAAAGAGGCGTCTATGAATGTTCCTTCCGCACCTGAGTCAATGAAAACCGACAGGGGAAGGTGAGTATCAGACCACGAAAGCTCAGCCGGAAACAGAGAGCCAGAAGAGGGTGGAGAAAAGACAGCGCTACTGACCTTAGCTGTAGGCGGCGGGAGAGCTTGTGGTGCAAACAGTGGTCTCGAAGGAGAAGTAGCCAGCAAATGGTTTGATGAAGCGCAGTACAGGCATCGTCCCTCTCGGCGGCGCCTTTCCTTTTCTTGAGAGGAAAGAGGAGCATGCGGCAGAGCTTGCAGTGCAGCGAGCGATCCCTCCGGAGGGCCATGTCTGCTTCTAGGGTGTCTCTCTGCTCTCCGAATTCTAATACGGGTGTCTAATTCGAGAACCTGAGAGAATTGCCGCATCAAGGGACTGGGAGTGGATTCGTGTGAGCACCAGGTGATCCTTCAACTCCTCTGACAGTCCCTTACAGAAGAGACAAACAAGAGCCTCCGGGTTCCAGGCAGACTCCGTGGCGAGGGATTGAAATTCCTCCACGTAGTCCTGTAGTGGTCTGTCGCCCTGTTGAAGCACTGAGAGCCGAAGGAGAACCAATCTGCTCCTGCGATGTAGGAAAACGCTTAGGATACAAATGAAAGGAGAGAAAGCACTGAGCAATAAAGCCTCTGCAACCAGTAGGATTACCGTCATATTTCTCGGGGAGAACAAACGGTAAGGTTGGGGGAGTGGTGGGCGGGGTCATGGGGGGCGGGGCAGAGGATTGTGAGGAAGACACTGCAGGAGACGGTGTGGGGCATAGGTGCCCCGGAGGAGATGAAAGCCAGGCGACCTGATTAGTGAGATGCTGAACGGACAGCTGTAGCTGGAAGAGAGCTTGGGAGTGCTGCTGGAGAAGGGAGCGAAGAGCTTGCATGTCCGCGGGATCCATTTTTCAGGCTCGGTATTCTGTAAGGATACTCTGAAGAAGAGATATGGATCCTGTCCAGACACAGGAGTAGGTGGGAGGCACGGCAACAAACAATCCGAAACAAGGAACGAGTTCGTAGTCAGAGGGAGAAAGGAAGGTCGAAAACCAGGTCAAACACAGGTGGCAAGCAATCCAAGTCATGAGGCGATATCGTGGTCGAAGGGAGGAAGGTAGGTAGAAATCTGGCAAAGACACCGGTGGCAAACAATCCGAGTAGCAAGGCGAAATCTGAAGCCCAGAGGTGAAAAGGGTAGTCGATAATCCAGCAAGTCACAGGGTATAGAAATCGCTAGGTAGAGCTTTCAAGGAGTTTACTCAATACTGAGCAGCAAGACCCAGGTTGGAGAGGCTTAAATACTGCAGCCTGCTGCACGGTAGGGCGTCTGATGTTGAGTTAACACGTGTGGCGGCGCTTGTAATTATCGCCCTGCTGCTGGTACTGATTAGTTCTCTTGGGGGCTGGTCTGGGCAGGTTGGTGGTCATGACACTATGGATGAGTTGGGTTTTGTCCATGCTAGAGGAGGTTCCAATTGTCTAGGTGAGGCTTGGAGTAGCTGCAGTATGGAACACTTGGTCAGGAAGGGGAGAAACCTACAAACACTGCTCGTTCATAAGAGGAAGAGACTGAGCGAGCAAGAGAAGTCATGTTTCAGAAAAAGAAAAGGTAAGGGTCAAGAGTGAGGCCTGGGTTTCTGGCAGGGGCAAAGGGGGAGAGGGTGGTGGAATGAAGAGAAATAGTGAGAGACTCACAAAGGGGGGGCATAGGGGAAGGGAGGAAACAGAGGTCGGGGTTCCAGAGGCTAAGCTTAATATGGTGAGAGAGCATCCAGGCAGAGATACTGAACAAGAGGAGATGCGACTATCAAAGGGTGGAAGAGAGGGGAAGATTCGAGCACTGGCAGTACAAAAGGGATATTAAAAGCCATGGGTGATGAGATGAGAGGACTCAGGGTGTGTGTGGAGACTGGAGAGCAGGACCCAGGACTGAGCCCAGAGGGACACCAGCACAGTTAGTAACAGGCAGAGACTGCGTCTCACCAGGAGATTCTGTAGGTGTTATCAGTGGGGGTAAGAGGAGGTCCAGGCGAGAGGAGCACCAGAAATTCTAAAGTCAACAAGTGTGGACAAGAAAACCGAGTGCTCAGTGTCAAAGGCAGCAGAGATATCAAAAAGCAGTAAGACAGAAGAGGAGGCAGCTTGAGCAGAAAGAAGAGTATCTGTAATAAAGAAGAGGGCAGCCTCAGCTGGGTGTGTTGCAATATAGACTGGAGAGGGTTAAGGACTGTGCACCATGTGCTCAAGGGTTTTGGAGAGGAAGGGAAGAAGGGAGATGGGAAGGGACAATGAAACACATGCAGGTTATTGAAGAGCGGCGTAATGGCAGCTTGTTTAAAAGCAGATTGAAAACAGCCTGAGAACAATGCTGAGAAGGAGGTCAGGGACAGGAGCCTAGAAGAGATGAGTGGAGAGAGGGTAAGTGCAAGTGGTAGTTTCATGCTCCAGGAGCAAGGAGGAGATCTGAGTCACAGAGGGAAGCGAATGAGGAAATGGAGAGGGGTGAGTATGCTGAGTTTGTGAGGTCATGGGTGAGCAAAGTGATAAAGTGTTGAAGGGGGGGGAGGGGTTGAGGAGCAAAGACAAGGTGGAAAATTCTGTGACACTGTGTGATCAACTTTGTAACTGTGTCAATGCTTTCTGACCATACATGATATCAGGATCTGAAATATAGTTTTGTTAAAAAAAACTCTTTTCCATTAGAGTCACAGTGTATAGTTGCATTATTATATATTCTTTTATAGAGATCATTATGGTATTTGTAAATATGGACTGTGATTTTATCCTTTAGGGTAATGTGTGTTTTTGACATTTCAATGCATGTGGGTGAAAACACACTGCATATTTAAAAAATGTAACAAAAGCACATTTAAAAGATGTAATGCACACTAGAGCTCAGGGGTACAAAATGGCTATCCGATCTCTCCTTTCATCTTGCTTGCACCTGCAGGTCCTAATTAGCACCATCCCACGTGGCCAATTTATTATCCAAACTATGCCTTGCAGCTTTCCTTGGCAACTGGACTAGTCCTGGGGGGGTCAAACTGATGGGGGAAGACAGAAATGTTGTCCCCGATGTACGCGCCAGAAATGAATGAGACCCTTCGTGGACACGAGCTCATGATGTTCCTCTATTCCCCGGGTTACCAAGCAAATTCCAGCTGTGACACAAGCTCCATGCCCCTTTGCACCAGGAACGGCACTGGGGAGGTGCTCCAGCTGCCAACGTTCTCCACTGCAGCCAAAGCCAGAGTTATCATCACGTTCATCCTGTGCATCGTGTCTGCCATCTGCAATCTGGCCGTGCTGTGGACCGCCAGCACCAACACCAAGAGAAAATCTCACGTGCGGATCCTCATCATCAACCTGACTGTGGCTGACCTCCTGGTCACCTTCATCGTCATGCCTGTGGACGCCGTCTGGAATATCACCGTCCAGTGGCTGGCGGGGGACGTGTCTTGCAGGCTGCTGATGTTTCTGAAGCTTCTGGCCATGTACTCGTGTGCTTTCGTGACGGTGGTCATCAGCCTGGATCGGCAGTCCGCCATCCTGAACCCTCTGGCAATCAACAAGGCGAAGAAGAAAAACAAGATCATGCTCTCCGTGGCCTGGGCCATGAGCGCATTCCTATCCGTCCCGCAGGTGAGGAACAGACCCCCCAGTGATGGCTTTGTATTGCATTATCCGTCGTTGTCGCCATGTCTGTGCTTTGTACGGGAAAACACCAACCAAAACTGACTGAAGACAATCTACATCTAAAACTAAATCAGAGACCAGATTTTCACCGAGATTCTGAGCACACACACAAGACTAAAATAATTATGGAAAAGCTAAATAGAAAAATATTCTCCCCAAGAATGCAGCGCAGCATGATAAACTTGATAGAATCCTAGAACAAAAGCAAAGAATTATGTTAAAGCACTTAAGGATAAGTAGGAAATAACATCTGCTTATGAGATTAATGCAACAACAAACAGCCTCTGGTGATGACAGACACATAAAATGCAACAGAAACCGATGGGTAATAATGTTTTGAAAGGGGTAGGAAAATAGTTCTTTTAAATCTTAAGTAAAAGATAACACTGGGAGTTTATCTTGCCCTCAAGTATTCAAATGTTATTAAGCTTTGTGTTTCCATATTAGAACTAATGGCACTAAAATAATACTGTGTCCTACTGTTTCGCTTAAGTTTCAGAAAAAATTATCTACAGTAGGTAAAGCTGTACCTAGGGTGCATCCCATGGCACATGTACTTAGTGGAAAATAATGTCATTTATAATATTAAGAAATGTAGCTAGGAGCTTCTGAAACAATACTCATAAAAATGATTTCTCAATCAGACATTTCTGCGTTTCTAGAAATTCAGAACAACTGCACTACACCAATAGGTAATTCAAATGCCTGTATTTGTTGATCTCTATGATTCCTTGAAGTCACTGACAATTTAAGTTTAAATAAGCTGCTTCACTGCAGCGTGACAGCCTACATCTGCAGCAGATGATAACCAAAAATTGAACAGCATTAATTTAGACCGCGATTGTCCTTTTTTTGACCTAACTGACAATTACAGGAAGCAGCAAAAATATATTGTTTGAATAATACAATTTTAATCCTCTTACGGCAAATTCCCATAGAAATAAGCCTAGCATTGGAATTAGATGTATAACTATGCAAGTGATATTGTAACTTGGGTTGAAACCAGTGTGTGGTCACTGTCCCTTGTTATCTACTGTATATGACTTTCAGTAAATGTCAAGGAGAAGGAGAAATATAAAAGGGTTTTCAAAGTAAAATCTGCTTAGTTTCTGTAGAAGTTTAAAGGGTGTAAACACAGTAAGAGCCACTGCAGAAGGTAAAAAAAAAAATACGTTTGATTTTTTTCAGCATTTAAGTTTAGCTCACCTTCACAGTTCTGTGAAGGTTTAACATGAAGGCTGCAATTGCTGTGGCACCATTGTACTACACAGGCACCAATAAGAAAAAAACAACATAAAAAGTATTTTTTAAAATCCTGAAGGGTGTTCTAAAATGAAATCTGAGACTAATTTAGTCTGTAACTGTATAGGGTGAACAAATCTGGAGAGCCCAGGATGCCTTGCAGCTCATATATGGTAGTTCGCAATAAAGGCTAAGAGCAGCTTCAGTTGGGTATTCTTCGAGCTGATCTGTGGATTTGTGGTTATTGCCAGACAGTGGCACACATATGGTGGCCAGGGGCTTTACATCAATGAATCCAATTTATTGTCAAACCCTCACAAAACGTATATGAAAACATTGCAGTGTCCTTGAAACCATCCTATACCTTATTATAGAACTCAGTACAGAACTCCAGAGTGGCAAGCTATCATCAACATGACATTGAGGATGCATTCAAAATCATTCGCAGAGCACAGGATTCAAAATACAAGAATCTTGCTTGGCTGTCAGCTCAGATATCATCTTAGTAGGTAAAGTCTGCCAGTCACTTTCATTCTGATTAGCAGGTGTGTTAATTATTCACTTGCATTCTCCTAATTCCCCAAAGTCAGACACTGTATAGCGGATGGTTTTGTAACCTCACTTACAGAGAATGGATAGCGATGTGGACAATGCACATTCTGCGGTATCATACACAAGTTAGTATGCAAGATGGAAACTGGGGTTATTTTTGTTTTAGGGGAAATACAACGAATCTAAATATTTTAAGTGAAATCTTATTTTAAGTTTAAACCATCAGGAGTATCTCTTTGACTTTCATTTCAAGTTGCTAGCAATCCCTTCCCCCCCAGTCAAACAGGAATGTATTCCATCAGTGTGCTGAAGAGTGCGTCACAGGCCTCGTTCAGACTCCCTGTGCTGTCAAGTGTGAAATGCTTCAAAGCAGGTAAAAAAGAACAAGTCTCGGGTCCACCTGCTGTTTGAACCAAGTTGCTTTAACCAGAAGAAAATCTTATACGCGCTGGTCGGGGAAACCAGATTGACTTTGACAGCGAACAGAAGTTTTAAAATCGCCATGAATGAAAAATCAGTTAATTGCTCCAGAGAAAGGATTCTCCAACAAGACTGAACAATCATTTAAAAATAATCACAGGTGCATTCATGAATATACTAGTACCTTACGTTGACATCATTGAGCGAGAGCTGCCTTGCTACTCCTGTATTTAAGTTATTTATGTTCGCAATCGACAGACCTACAGTAGATGGAATGTAAAACACTGGCAAAGGGTTAAAAATAATCAATAATAATGTAGGTCTTCATAATTTAAAATGGAAAAGATTAAATTCAGTTTTTTTTTCTCCTGTTCTCTCTGTACCTCAGCACACATTTCAGATACATAAAATCTTTTTTATAAAAATCCTTAAATGCATGTGTATAGCAACTCTATTTCAGAAGGAACTGTACAATATGGAGTCTAAAGCACATGTAATTCACAGACACATTTTCACATTAAACATTTTATGTTTAATTATGGACAGTAGCAGAAAGAGTTTGAAAACACAAATGTTCCTACCATTAGCATAGCTCATGAGTCACATTGTGCAGAACCCCAAGAGAAAATACAGTATGTAGTTAATGTCAAGCTATAAATATTAAGGCAGCATGCAAGTGAAAAGTTACAATGATTATTACCTGTTTTCTTTCATGAAAAGGCACTGAGGCTGAAGCACATAAATGTAACTCATTTTCTAGGTAGGGTAGGTAAACACTCACTCCCTTTACAATGTCTATTTATAACAGGTTCACCACCAAGCAACTTAATCAAACTACAAGAATCTATTAATAATACTGGGATAATGTTGGAATTGTTGTAGTCCAAAAAAATATAACTACTTTCAATGGCCTGTTCTGCCCTGATGTTGTTACAGCCCTAAACAAACCCAGCTAAATTAGAATCTCATCTGCTATAAAGTACACAGTGTATTCATTTAAATACACTGGGGCCAAAGAGTGACCTCTGTAAACATCATCTAACCTTTTCATCAGCATGGCACAATTTTACCTTGTTTACTGATTTACCCCCATTTATTTAAGAGAAAAACAGCGAGTTTCTAGCTACACGAGTCAGTCTCAGGGGATGCCAGGAGCAGACGGGGGTCCCCTACTGCGATTCACCGTGTGGTTGTTGTGTTGCCCTTCTTACCTGCAGATGTTCATATTCCACAACGTTACCATCACCGTTCCTCAAAACTTCACCCAGTGCACCACCAGGGGGAGCTTTAGCAAGCACTGGCAGGAGACGGTCTACAACATGTTCACGTTCGTGTGTCTGTTCCTCTTGCCTCTGGCAATTATGATATTCTGCTACACCAGAATTCTCATGGAAATCTCCAAACGAATGACGAAGGGCAACAGTGAGTAACGTAGAAGCACCCTTCTTAAACTCATTTAAACACCGACAGCTGGTGAAGTGACTAAAAGCAATAATTATGTTTGATAAGATCCGCATGAGTGTTAACATCATTAACACAAAACATTTACCTTAAACGGTGTAGAAATTAAGACGTCTATTAAAAAAAAAGTTTGGAGAAAATAAACTCCGCCTATTTTACTAGTTTTAAATTTTGTATTGTCTTTCGGTAAACCAGCAAATTTCCAATCCTTTGGTTTATTTACTACGCAGTTTTATAAACATTACATCTCCTCTACATTTTTGTCTGCAGTATCTTCCAAGGAAGTGCACCTGCGTCGCTCCAAAAACAACATACCGAAGGCACGCATGAAAACTTTGAAAATGAGCATAGTAATCGTTTCTTCCTTCATCGTCTGCTGGACACCTTATTACCTGTTGGGGTTGTGGTATTGGTTCTCCCCAGACGTACTAGAGGAGACCATCTCTCATTCCTTAACGCACATACTCTTCATTTTCGGGCTCTTCAATGCGTGCCTGGACCCTATTACCTACGGGCTTTTCACCATTCACTTTCGGAAAGGACTGAAGCGTTACTGCCGCAGCGCCACCGTGCTGGTCGAGTCGGAAAACAACACCACCCTGACCGCCTCCTTCAGGTGCTCCTTGTCCTCCTTCCGCATGAAGAGACGGACCCCTCTCGGGCAAGATGCGCCCTCAGCCAACAAGGAGCCGGAGAGCAAGACCTCCTCCCCCTTTAATAATTACCTCACGGTTTACCACGACAGCAAAAGCGACAGAAACCAAATCGACCCAGTAAATATGATATAATAATAAAAATCTGTCAGACAACGACGGGTAGAGAAAGCTTTAAGAAGAGACGTTTGCCGTCAACCATCTGTGCAATCTTAATTTTCCTTTTGGTGTTATACAGAATAACCCGCAGAACCTTTTTTTTTTGTGAGGCTGTATTTTCTGTAGAGCCAGAAAAAATATGTCCCAGATACTGTATTTCTGCCAGGGTGCAATTTAAACTCATCACGAAACCTGGAATTCGTTGTTCTGATATATTTATGTGTGGAAATGTGGTTACAAATGCTGAAAAGGAAGGCAAAGTAATAACCAGAGATTGCTTTTGATGTTTTGCTTTTGAAAAGGCAAGGAAACTAACACGAAAGGAACAAGTAAAGGTTTATTCCATGCTGAAAAGAGAAGAAAAGAAACAACGTTTCGGCTGATGTTAGGCAAAATACGAAGTTCTTACAGCTGTATGAACTGTATGTTGAACTATTCTTCAAATCCAAATAAAAACAAAGGAGAAATTAAGGGAAAAATTAAAAGTGTGTTGCAGATGATTTCTGTATATGCTAGTGTATTCCCATGTACATGAAAATCATAACTAAAAAGGTGACTGCCTATAAAAAAAATTGTCAGGGGCTTAATCCATGAATAGCTTTTCATAGTGTATTTTTTAGACTGGCTCATGCCTTCAGGTACTTGTCATTTCAGTTCAGCAGTCTTGTTCTGCAGAGTGTAAGGGTTTTTTTGTGCACTGTGATGGTGCTTAAATGAATAAGGTGTACTGTAAGTGGTTCTTCTGAATCTGTGTCAATGGAACAAGAATTCCTTCACTTTTCACAGGAATTCAGGGCATTTTGCTAATCTCATTTGTTCATCCTTATTTAATATCACTCTTTCCTCAGAACTTTCAAATTGATTCACAGGGCCTTGTACAGAAATGCATGCCAGTCAATGGTTTTCTAAATTAAAAATTACTTAGTGAGAACTGTAAAAAATGTCATATGCCTGAGATATTTATCAACTTATTTTTTGCAAGTTCTTGACTATTAAATTAGGGTCTATTTAATCAAAATGCTTAAAGAAATACCTTTTTTGTAGTGTCGTATAAGTGTTCAATATTATTTGAACTGATTTGTGGGACGTTCTGAAGTTCTATGCTGCAATTACAACTAACGTCTCAGGGAAACTACTGTACGTAGCTCAAATACAGGTGATCAGGCACCTTTTTGTAATCTGGCTGGAGACAACACAACTGTAAATTGTTATTAACATGTAATCCATTGGGATCTGTATTCTCATGTGAAGTTCATCGTCTTAAATGTAAAGAGAAACAACACCGAACAAAAACTTTTGCTACATTTTTAAAACGATTTCCACCTGAAAATGAATGCAATTAGATCAATTGTAATTGACAATTATAAATTGTTAGTGACTTGGAACATAAAGCAGTATAGCTCAAAAACATTTGCATCAAAAAACAAAACTGTCTCAGAGAGCACACTTTTCATTTTACAAAAGCTTCTGTTATGAGAACTTTTTCAAACTGTACATTCACCCTCTCTGTAACTGACCACAGGGGATGTAGAGTTTGACAATGTGCGAATGGACAACAGCTTACTGAGTGGAAAAGACCAGGGTATGTGAAGTGCCTCATGAAGTGAAATGTTGGATGGGTTCAGATGTATATAAAAATCTCATGCTCAATCTGTCCCGTGTTTAAACTTGTACATTTCTGAATCAGAAACTGAAACCTGAAAAAAATTAGACTACCTTTCAGGTTATGGCTTGTGAAATTACAATTACAGTCATTGTTCATTGTTCAAGTAAATGAAATACAATTGCCTCGGTCCTCTTATGCGCTGATGACTTGAATAGACTCTCTAATGCAGTCTGAGCTTGTATGTTTCTAAAGAAGATTGAAAAGCAGTTTTTTCATTTTATTCTGTATATCGAATATTAATAGGTGCTCCATGCAGAAGCAAAGTGCATTCAAAACTGATCATGATAAGGGTTCTGGGAGAGTGGAACAAGTTCACCAGCCATGTTGTTGAAGCTGTTAGCTTCTTTTAAGAAATAGCTGGATGAGATCCTCAGATCAATTAGCTACTACAGTACATACAGTACCAAACGGACTAGATAGGCCAACTGGTCTCCTGTCATTTGAGGCAATCATATCAAGGGACAGAGATGGATGTAAGTAACATGTACATGTACACTGTTAACAATGCAATCATTATGTGAGAGATTTAAAACCATATTACTAAATGTATTTAACATCAAAATCAACAAGTATTGGTGTTGTGATAAATGGATAAATGTACCGTGATCAAGTATTTTGTGGTATTGAATATATCAAAAAGCAGACTTGTACTATACTACACGACCCAGGCATTGTTTCTACACACTTCTCAACTGGGAGAGGATTATCTTTGATGTTTTGCATGGTTGTTGGTGTGTCATGTGCTGTAACAGTCAAATCTGTGATAAAGAAACTACCGTCAATACTCAAAAGAATTGACAATTGTATTTTTTTTCTTAGAGAACTCAATCTCTGTCTGAATTAATATTAAAATCTATAGAGAAAATTAAACTTGTATCTTTTAAAAACAAATGTATTCCTTTTGATTTGTATGCAATGTGTATGTCTTTAATATAATAGTGAAAGTGATGGATTTAAAAGTCAGGATATTGTAAAGTCCTGAGAATATTTTACATGCTGTTACTTATGTCCAAGAATGAAAGCTCTTTTGAAATACTACAAAAGACTGCCTGTAGTCAATTTACAATACACAGTACAAGCACATTTCATTCATGCAACTTTTCAGAGGTAATACATTAACATTAAGTTTTGGAATTCTTGAAAATAAAACAATTTCAACCCACACACAATCTAGAATCATATTAACAGATATGTTTCCTTTGAGAGCTGTGGGGTGGCAGAATCCTTTTTTTTTATTTTACCCAAGTGAAATGACTTACTGATGTACGTCGCCATTAAAGAAATGCAGACATGCTTTTGGTTACATGAAGAGCCCCAAATACATCTCTCGCTGTCATTCATTCATTCCCAGCTGATACAAGCCATGTAGTTTGCTTCAACCTCATTAATCTTTTCACATCTTCACAAGGCTGTGTCATTTTTTTCCATGTGACAGATTGATATGGCAATGTGACCTGTCAGCTGCAAATGAGTGCTGACAGGAAAGGTTTCTACCCTGATTTTATTTCATTATTTTGTATTCTCTTTTCAGCTTTCTCATGAATAAACACACACAAAGTTGAAAGGAAATGTCCACATAGAAAAGCAATGCCATTGATCTCCATAATCATTTGCGCCTGTGTTGTATTTATGTCTCTTTGTAAGACTAAAATGTTCAAGTTCTCACACCTGGGGAAATTTTGTAGAAGGGTCTCTTAGCAACAATGTGAGACCAAGGAAAATCAAAACATTTATTTCTACACCACATCTTCAACAATCCAATGCTATAATCCGGTTAAGTGTGGCATACAAATGTATTGGAAATCTACATGAAAATGTACAACTGCCTTAACTGAAAATGTATCTGGACAATTTGTATCAATCCTGTTAGCAGGCATGGATCAGGCAACAGTGCTTACTGTGAGAAACTTGTACCGACACAGATTTGCGGTACTAAACCTCCACCTCCACCCAACTGGGACGGTGTGGTGGCTCTGTGTGTGGCTAAGGATCTGCACCTCTGGTTGGAAGTTTGCTGGTTTCTACCTCAATCATAAGATGTCTACATAACTGAGCTACCTGTATATCAGTGTTTTCTAAAAGCAGGTACTGTAGCTGTGATTGGCCTTCTACACAAAACCAATTCTTTGGGATTCTTAAACAAGCATTCTTTGTGTCTGCAGGCCCCTAGTCTTATCAACAGCAGTTACATTTAATGTTGCAGCTGGTGTTTTGCTGAACATAGTGTACAGAGAGAGACTTTAGCCCTTCAATATTATCCCACGTACTGAGAATTCCGATAAGACATGGGAAAGAAGATTCCTTGGGGTGCACCTGCACCTGCAACAGCTCCTCCTTGGCACCTCTACAGTAGCTTGGATCAGGGTCAATCAGACCGGCCCCAGACCAGAAGGTTCTGAAGGCAACTGTTAAATCAGTTTTCTCAGCACTTCACCTGCTTAATGAATCCAAATTAAACTGTTTGACTTGTTTAATTTAGTCATGTTGAAAAATCATTTATAACAATGATCTGAATTCCAGTCTCTCCTCAAGGGCCGGAATTCCCTGAATTAAGTGGTGACTGATCAGAAGAACTGAACTGTGGCTCTCATGCACCAGGAATAGAGATTGTGCCTTTAGAGAAAGGGGATTTGGGGTAGAAGCCATGAGAGCATAATCCACGAAGGCAGGTTTTTTCCTTTACTCTTTAGCTCTTGCATCCATGTTTTCTGTCTGTGACCTTCGCATCACAGGTCCAATAAAACATTGTATTCCCACAAAGTCCTCAGCTATAACTCTATCCACCACTTACCAGCAAAACAAAATCTTTAGACGATGTCAAGGACTAGGCAAATGTTTTAAACTCTCTCTGCGTGATGGAAATGGAAGTGAGGTTTTTTTATCAGGCATAAAAGAAAAAATGACAGAGCGCACAAAATATCACCTATTTCTTTAAAAAGATGTCTATGCAAGAAGGCAATACCAACAAGAAACAGCTTTGTTTAACAGTCTGCTGCATTTAAAACAGTAGATGAAAGATAGCCAGTTCAGACAGAATTCACTACAGTGGATTTAGGAAGAAATTTAAAAAACCAAGCTGGATCCCACCTGTGTGTTATGACATTTGCCCTTCACAATGCTTATTTTAGGTGGCTGTATAAAATCAATGCGATAGCACAGATGAAAGGTTAAGGATCTTTTTTATAATTTCACACTTGCAAAATTTTACTGCATCACCACACAGTATTTTCCAAATGAGTCTAACTGAATCAAGGAAAAAGTTCAGTTCCTCAAAATACTTACTGTAAGTCATTTTACTGTTTAAACAGATTTTTATGTGTCACAATCGCTAACCCTTCTCTTAAGGGCGGTCCAGCCCTTCCTTGTTTTCTCCCATTGCCTGCACCTGTTCCCTATTCCCGCTCCCCCTTAAAAGCCAGACGCAGACCTCACTCCTGGTTCCTCATTGAACTCTGCTTCGTGAGAGCTCGGGGTCCTGCTGCGTCTGGCTCCGTTATGGTTTTAACCTTCTGTTCCTGATTCCCTGCCCCGCCGGTCCCGACCCGGCTCATGCTTTTAACCCTTGGATGGATCTCCTGGCCTTGGACTCCACTCTTCCGTTTGGATTCCCCGTTTGGACTTTGGCTTAGTTTGTTCGCCCGGACTCACTTCCCCAGGACACCTGCTCACCTCGGACACGCCCCCATGTATCCAGACACTTTCCTGCATGACTTTCTCCCTAGTGTATCTTCACAATTCCTGATCGTGTCGTCTGCATAGGGCCCAGAAAGAACTGCTTCATGACAGTATGAAGAATAAACAGAAGCACATGTAATAAATCTCTCACACAAGAAAAGAATGCATGAATATAAAATCTCCCATGAAAAGATTCCAATGCAGCTGCCCTATCTGTCACGATATTAGTTCCCCCTCCTTAAGGGTGCTCCAGCCCTTTCACTCAAGACTTTATTCTATGCACCTGCTCCCTATTCCCAGCCCACCTTAAAAGTCAGGCGCTGACGCTCATCCGGGCTCTGCTCTGATTTCCATATCGTGCGAGTCCGGGACCTGGAAGCGCCTGGTCCCGTTAAGGTTTTAACCTCTGTTCCCGTTCCTGTTCCCCGTCCGCCGGTTCCGACCCGTCCTTCGTGGTTTTTTAATTCTTGCTCTGATGGATCTTCTGGTTTTGGACTTACCCTTGTGTTTTGGATATTCCCAAAGGACTACTCTCTCGGATTGTTCGCCTCGGCCACGCCTCCCCCGTGCACCAGCGCACCTTGGACACGCCCCCCTGTCTTCTGCTCCGTATTCCTGCATGACGTTTCCCCACTTCGTCGGATTGTGTCATCCGCATAGGATCCGGAAAGAACTGTTCGTTACACTATCCCACCCCTCCAAGCCCACCTCAGAGCTGCTGTCTGCTCCCTTCCAGGTCAGAAACCCACTTCAATGATACATTATGGGAAAGCACTGACTTCATACAGGAGTCGGAGGTATTTTTACTGGAGCTTCATTTTGAATGCAATGTATAAGGTACTGGTTCACACATACAGTCAAGATGTCAAAACAGTGTCAGCATGTAAAAACAGGTTCTGTTCCACATTGAATATACATACATGCATAAGAATTAGAACCAGTACTGTAACAGGCTGCACTGAGAGTTACCCACTAAAGGCTCTGTTGCTTCTTTCATATATGGAGCTAAAACAGCTCCTTCCTCCCACTGACTTCTTACATTGACTTCACCATCTAAGAATCCAGATATACATCTTCCATAACTCATGATTACTACATCACAGGCAGTACTGATGGGCATGAAGGGTTTGGAGCTGACACAGGGCTGGAAGCTAGACAGAGACCCTCCAGGCTGTGTTAAGGTCTGTGTGGAGCAGAATGCATAACATCTCCCAGTACTCAATGACCGCAATTAGTTGTATTTTGCCAATCTACAAGACTCAGTATACAGATATGAAACCCATATTAAAAAAACAGATCTTTTTAGTCCTTTTGTGCAAGAGTGGCTGGCTGTAAATTGCTTTCCCCCCGATGAGACACCTAAAACAAACCAAGGAAATTAATTAAATTCCCCATTCATTCAATAGGCTTAACAAACACACTTTGCATATCTGACCGTTGCAGTGGTATGGTCGAAGAAAACCCATTTACGATTTGTTGTCTACTTTATGCGCTTATTAATGTTTTCAATTGTTTTCGATGCAAATTCATGCAATAAGATTCGATTAAATGACTAAAGGTTTCCTCAGATTCACGCATTCATTCATGTGTTTCAGAGATAGAAAAAGAAAGTAGGGCTGTGTGACTCACGGAATTCAGTTTACATGACCCATGTTCTACAT